AGCGTAGTGGTGTTGCACTGTGGCCTCACAGAAAGAAGGTTGCTAGTTCGAGTCTCGGCTGGGTCAGTTGTCATTTCTGTGTGGAGTTTGCATGTTCTCCCTGCATTCGTGTGGGTTTCCTCCGGGTGCTCCGGTTTCCCCCACAGTCCAAACACATGCACTATAGGGGAATTGATCGACTAAACTGGCCGTAGGGTATGAGTGTGTGTGTGAATAAGGGTTTGTGGGTGTTTGCCAGTACTGGGTTGTGGCTGGAAGTTGGCGGTTTATTCTGCTGTGGCGACCACTGATTAAAAAAGGAACTAAGCCGAAAAGAAAATGAAAGCATGTTTATTTGTAAATATTCAATTATATTTTATTAATTACAGTCATTGGTTTGATCGTCTTAGTAAACTGATCGATTATTACAATATAACTAACAAAAAATTATAGTTTATAATTCATTCAATCATTTTCTTGTTGGCTTAGTCCCTTTATTAATCCGGGGTCGCCACAGCGGAATGAACCGCCAACTTATCCAGCACATTTTTTACGCAGCAGATGCCCTTCCAGCCGCAACCCATCTCTGGGAAACATCCACACACACACTCATACACTACAGACAATTTAGCCTACCCAATTCACCTGTACCGCATGTGTTTGGACTGTGGGGGAAACCGGAGCACCTGGAGGAAACCCACGCGAACACAGGGAGACCATGCAAACTCCACACAGAAACACCAACTGACCCAGCTGAGGCTCGAACCAGCGACCCAGCGACCTTCTTACTGTGAGGCGACAGCGCTAACTGCTGCACCACTGCTTCGCCTTATATTTTATAATACTTTTTTAAGAATAAATTATTTATGTAATGATCATAGTAAAATAAACAGGTAGTAGATATTTAGATGATAGATAAATAAATATACATAAAACATACTGTCAAGGTGCAAACATTTAGACTAATAGATACTTGCTCTATAGGGGAATTGATTAACTAAATTGGCCGTAGTGTATGAGTGTGAATCTGCTGTATAAAACATGCTGGAATAGTTGGTGGGTCATTCCACTGTGGCGACCCCTGATAAAATAAGGGACTAAGCCAAAGAAAAATGAATGAATGATCACACTAAAAAAAACAGGTAATAGATATTTTTCTGAGGTAAATAATTATACATATAAAATAATGTCAAGATGCAAACATTTAGACTTTATTATATACTTTGCACATAAAAACAAATTTAATTTATTGCACTTCTCTGTGATATGGATATTTCATATATAGTTGAAGTCAAAATTATTTTATTTCTATTTCTTCTTCAAATATTTCCCTGATGATGTTGAACAGATTCACGAATTGTTTACTGTGTTTCCTCTAATATTTGTTCTTCTGGAGAAAGTCTTATTTGTTTCATTTTGGCCAGAATAAAAGCAGTTTTTAATTGTTTTAATGCCATTTAAGGTCAATATTATTAGCCCCCTTCAGCAATAATAGTGTTGGATTGTCTCCAGAACAAACCACTGTTATACGATGACTTGCCTAATTACCCTAACTTTACCCTAATTACCCTAGTGAAGCCTTTACATGTCACTTTAAGCTGAACACTAGTGTCTTGAAGAATATCAAGTCTAATATTATGTGCTGTCATCATGACAAACAGAAAAGACATCAGTTATTAGAGATGAGTTATTAACACTGTTATGATTAGAAATGTGTTGAAAACATCTCTCTATTAAACAGAAATTGGGGAAAACATGTACAGGGGGGCGAATAATTCAAGAGGGCCAATAATCAGACTTCAACTGTACTATGATCACGATTTAGATGATTTTAATATCTAATTCTTTGATATATTGTGAGGACACTCACTCACAGTCAGAGTTACTCCAGTGAATCTGTGTTTTCAGCTGTTGTTATGCTGGTTCCTGAAGGCCCAACCGAAGACCAATTCCAGGCTCATTTTGCAAGCAACTTCCTGGGCCACTTCCCGTTGAGCCGCCTCCTGCTGGACAGCCTGGTGCATTGTGGGAAGGATGAGTCCTTTTCTCAGCACACGTGAGTGGAAAAACACCGTAATCTGGCGATCTGCAGAAACTGGAATAAATCACAGATAAGAGGAAACTGCCTGCGGGAGATTCATATGGAGAGAAGCTTCTGGCCTCTGATTGGTTACTGAAGGCGTGACTCATATGTTATATCATAAATACTGGAGGAATGTGTAGTGATGCTTTATTAATAGAGAGATAATAAAGAACCTGCTCCACTGCAGACCTCAGAGCCTTCACAATCACTTATATAAGATAACCCAACCCTGACCCAACTCTGAACGGGGTCAGTGTGACACTGGTGAACACTACAGAACCAGTCCAGCGGTGCTGGAACATGAGCGTCAGTAAATAAGATTCAATTAAATGACTTATTGGTTGGGTTGCTACAGAGATGTGCTAAACACTGATGAAAAACAAAGGTAAAATATGAATATTTGATGACCGCTTCTTTCGTCTATACTTCTATCTATCTGTTTACCCATTCATTCATTCATTCATTCATTCATTCATTCATTCATTCATTCATCCTTTGGTCCGTCTTCCCATCCATTGATTAATTCATTAATTTGTCCATTCATCATTTGGTCCATCAATCCATTCATTATTGAATTCATTCATTCATTCATTCATTCATTCATTCATTCATTCATTCATTCATTCATTCATTCATTCATTTATTCATCCATCCATCCATCCATCCATCCATCCGTCCTTCCATCCATCCATTCATTCAGTCATTCATTCATTCATTCATTCATTCATTCATTCATTCATTCATTCATTCATTCATCCATTGACCAATCCATCCATCCATCCATCCATCCGTCCTTCCATTCATTCATTCGTTCGTTCATTCATTCATTCATTCATTCATTCATTCATTCATTCATTCATTCATTCATTCGTTCGTTCGTTGATCTATCCATTCATTAATTGAATAATTCATTAATTCATTTGTTCATTCATTTTTCCATTAATCCATTAATTCATTCATTCATTCATTCATTCGTTTGTTTGTTCGTTCATACGTTTGTTCGTTCATTCATTCATTCATTTATTCCATTCTTTGATCCATCCAGACATACATCTGTTCAATTGTGTGTCAATTCAATCACCATTTAATCAGTGAGTCTATATTCAACCATTTGTCATTTCATCCATCCATCCATCTATCCATTTATCAACCAATCCATTTATTTATTTATGCATTGAAATATCCATTAATTTATTCATCCATCCATCCGTTCATTCATTCGTTCGTTCGTCCGTTCGTTCGTTCATTCATTCATTCATTCATTCATTCATTCATTCATTCATTCATTCATTCATTCATTCATTCATTCATCCATCCTTTGGTCCGTCTACCAATCCATTGATTAATTCATTGATTTGTCCATTCATCATTTGGTCCATCAATCCA